TATTTTGTCCCATAAGATGTTGTGATATATATCTTTATCAATAAGACTGCTAGCGCAAGTTTCTACATTTGCACTGTAAAAGTGAGTGATTAGTTTTCTTTGTGACCATATTTAATTCAGGCACTGTTGAGCCAAGTTTGCAGTCTAAAAATTGCTACAGTTGATTGAAAACCATTGATTTTGACAGGTATTCTTGTAGCACATTTGCTAAGCGTAGCATAACATTAAAAAGATCAGATCAGCCTTCGTTTTAAATTAAGGTATTCATTTACAGGTCGCAAATTTCACCAACGGCTTCAGACGATGAGTTTCGATTATAGAATTCAAGAGGGGAGTAGGTTTTGGGATATATAGTTAAGGAAGATCTCTACCTGTTTAGATCTGTAATCCCAGCCATTGGTTAACTGAACTTTTCATATAGACCGAGTGAACATAAACATGCAGCGTTTGCATGATTCAGCCAATTTTGATCATTGCTTGAAAAGCATATCAGTCATTGGTATTTGCTTGATTTTGTTTGTTACTTATGATTTTTTGTCATCTATTTTGTTTTAGTTGCAAAAGGCTGCTCTTGAACTACTGGTGTCGATTTGCCTGAATTGCAAGACATTAAACGCGGCAGATATCGACGTGATAAACAATATTTTACGACTTCGCCTGAAGACCAAGATTATTTCCACTTGTTATTTTGCTGCCTTAAAGTAAGTTTTCAGATGGGTTGGTGTCTTTGTCACGCCATAGCGCGGACACGCATAAAGGAAAGTTTGCTGATGATTTCCCGTAAGGTTGATTTGCTTGTACTACATGAGGGTTTAAATTCCCAGGTTTTCTGCATTCTTCACAGGTTTCTTCCATTTTATCAAAAGTTTCTTCCTCGTGAAACGCATATTACATAAAATTTAACGAAATTTTGTCACTTTGTTCTCTGACCACATTGAAATTATTTATTTTTAATTTTTTTTATCATTGCTGCAGCAATCCAAGATAATGTTACTCGAAGACTGTTCCTCTGCAGATGCAAATTTTAAGTTTTCTCTGCGCTTCAGGTACTTTTCATGTTGAAATCAGACCTTTCTTCCTTACGTTCCTCTTCAGAGTTTCCTTTTTCAGAATTAAAGGCAAAGTTGTGTTTACGGTCACGAAGAAATATCATAGAGTAAGCTTACAACATTTAAGGTCGTAGGAATGCTAAACTCCATAAGGCAGATCAAGACTCTTTAGTCAAAGTTTGATGGTTCAGAATATGCAATAGTACCATCAGTATTGAACATCACGGCTTTCTCACTGTAGGGATGTTCCCTTTTTGATTTTGATGCTTTTCTTTGCTGTTAGCAAGTGTTCGTTTATTTCAACAGAAACAGTTTCATTTTTTTCATTTAATCTGTGGTGCTAATTTTCTTAAGAAACACCCCACACTTTTAACTCAAGTTCTGCAGTCCCACATCATTCTTCACTAGCACTGTAATCAGTTTGCATGGAAGAGCTGTCTTATTACAATCGTAATCTATATACAGAATTGAAATCCAAAATCTCGTGCATATTTAGATGTAATGGTCACGATTGCAACATTCTCCATTATTCTTCTTCATCCAAGTTACAATCTTTGTCTGACATATCAACATAATAGAAGCATTTTATCTTTTAACTTTCATTTATTTCCACTCATCCGTCGTGTTTTAAGTAAGGCTGAATTCAGTGTCATCCGTAATAATGGCATCATCATATGCAACATTTTGTATGGCCAACATTTTATAGCATAGGACCTGTTGAAAAACTGTTATGTTTACCGAATGAGCTGTGAAAGTTGTCTCTAGATTTACATATGTATGACAAAAAGACGTGTTAAAACCGGTGTATCGAAACACAGGACAGCTTTCGAGCATGGATACGAAGAACACTGAATTATTGTAAAATATGCTCGTGATAATCTGCACTGTCTTGATAGCAAACACATGAAATTTTAGACAGTGATAATACCACGGCTCCTCTGTTGATACCAAAATTGCTCTCTTAAATGCATTTGTACAGCCTGCACACGCGATGAGTAAAATTTTACACGTATTTTAACTACTTGCATTCTCATCCGTAATCCTACAGCTTATACTACCTATTCTTTTATTTTGTTTTTTTTGCGTCTATCTCTTCATCCTGTTTTCTTCATTTATATGCCTGTAATTTTCTTTCTTTGTTATGGTTCTTTAATACAATGATTTTGGCATACATCTACTGAATTTTGATCGATATCCCCTATATGCATTATGAATTGGCGCAGAAGAAGAAATACGTCGTTGAGTCTCAAAAACTTCACTTATTAAATATATATATTTTCAAGGCATTTAACCTCTTTTTTACTCTACACTCTAATTGCTTATTTTTACCTGTCTTTCCAATATTTTACGATACTTATTTACTTTTATTAACAGAGCTTACATTTTCTTCAGCATAAATCCGTGCCAGATGGGCAAAAACGATCAGCAAGTTAAAGTCATAAGATGCACGCGTCAGTCTGCATGATTATGAATTTAGTGAGCTCTCACGTAACCTCTGTCACGATACCACGCTATCTTTATTTTTCGCGGATCCTTGCTTGCTTCCCGTTTCTGGGCTGGTTGTATGAGGCATCGTCGTTTAAATTCCTTTTCTCAATAATTTACTAGGTACTTTCATTCGAACCTACGTACTTGGCTTGCAAAACCGA